GTTTCCTCTTTATCATTTCTTATTGAGGTTACTAGAGATATTACTTTTCTGTTTCTAGTTAGTCTGGTCAAAGGTTTATCTATTTTATTAATTTTTTCAAAAAACGAACTTTTTGTTTTGTTAATTTTCTGAATGTTTCTTTTGTTTTCAGTTTCATTAATCTCTGATTTAATTTTGGTTAACTCTTTTCTTCTGCTGGGTTTGGGATTAGACAGTTCTTCTTTTTCCAATTCCATAAGATGGTTTGTGAGTATGTTGATTTGCTCACTTTCTGTTTTTTGAATTTAGGCATCTAGTGCAATAAATTTTCCTCTCAGGACTGCTTTTGCTGCATCCCATAGGTTTTGGTAACTTGTGTCTTCATTGTTGTTATGTTTGAGGAATTTAACAATTTCCTCTTTTATCTTTTCCCGAACATATCTATCATTCAGCATAAGGTTGTTTAATTTCCATGCCTTTGTGTGGGGTTGGAATGCGTTCTACCTCTGTAGCCTTGTGGTCTGAGAAGAGACAAGGTATAATTTCTATTTACTTAATTTTGTAGAGGATTGATTTGTATCCTAGGATGTGATCTATTTTGGAATATGTGCTATGGGCTGATGAGAAAATAGTATATTCTTTTGCTTTGTGATGGTGTGTTCTGTATATGTCTATTAATTCCATTTGTTCTAAAGTCATGTTTAAGTCCTTTATATCCTTGTTTAGTTTCTGTTTAGAGGATCTGTACAGTTCTGTCAGAGGGGTGTTAAGGTCCCTGGCTAGTAATGGCATTGCTGAGACCCCGCAAGGTCTGTTTCATAAATCTGGGACCATTTAAGTTAGGTGCATAAATATTTAAAATTGAGATGTCTTCTTGTTGTATGTTCCTTTGACCAGTGTGAAGTGTCTATTTTTGTCATAACTGTAGTTGCACTGAATCCACTTATATCTGAGAATAAGATTGCAACTCCTCCTTTCTTATTTCCATTTGCTTGAAATACTGTTTTTCATCCATTAACCCTGAGTTTTGATTTGTCCTTCAAAGCTAGGTGTGTTTCCTGAGATGGCATATGGATGGCTTGTGCTTTTTTATCCAGTCAGACAGCCTGTGCCTCTTCAGTGGGGAATTAAATCCATTGACATTTATTGAGAGTACCAGTAAGTATGGTAGAATTTTATTCATCTTGTTATGAGAAAGTCTATTGTGTAGTTTTATCCTTTGTGCTATGGTGGAAGTTAAGTTTTGGCCTCTGGCTTCTAGGTGATTACTTTGGTGGTAGTCCTTTGTGGTGTTCATTGTTGAGAATAGGTCTACGTATTTCCTATAGAGCTGGTCTTGTGGCGAATTTCCTCAGTGCTTGTATATCCAAAAAAGATTTGCTTTCTCCATCAATTTTGAAGCTTAGTTTAGCAAGATACAGAATTCAGGGCTGAAAATTATTTTGTTTAAGGATGTTGAAGGTGGATGACCCTGCTCTTCTGACTTGGAAAGTTTAAGTTGAAAAGTCTGCTGTCATCATAATGGCTCAGCTCTGGCCCTGTAGGTCAGGTGGCACTTATCTAGTTGCTTGCAGAATTTTCTCATTTGTCTTGACTTTGGACAGGTTTCTTATAATGTGTCTTGGAGAAGCACTGTTAGAGCTAAGGTGACCCACAGTTGAATATCCGTCTGAAGGGAGTGTTTAGGACTCTTTAATAAAACTTGGGAAGTTTTCATTTATGATACTTTCCAGTAGGGCTTCCATACTTTTGGGACAATCTTCTTCCCCTTCAAGAATTTCTATTATTCATATGTTTAAACACTTCATGGAGTCTTGTACTTCTCTAAGTGCCTGCTCTGCTTTTTCTCTCTTCTGCCTCTGTAACTACGTGGGTTAACTCAAACACTTTATCCTCTAGCTCTGATATTCTTTCTTTTCTGTGGTCTAATCTGTTTTTGATACTTTCTACTACATCTTTACATTCTCTGATTGTCTCCTTCATTTCCTTAAGCTCCTCCATATCCTTTCTATATTCTACATACTCTTGTTTGACTTTTGGTTCTGTCTTTCCATTTTTTCATCCATTCTCTTTATTGTCCTAATCATTCATATATTGTATTCTCTTTCTGTCAAATCCATTAGTCCTTTATAGGAGGAGTCTTCTATAAAAAAAAGTGCTTTATGGTCCCTTGGAGGAGTTGCTCTAGTTAGATTTTCATGGTACCTGAATTTTTCTGTTGGTTCCTCCTTATGTGTGCTTTCTTCTTGTTCACCTCCTTGTGCTCCTTTTTCCTTCTCACTGCCTCCTTTGCTTCAGATTACCTTGTCTCAGAGTTTAGGCAATGAAGAGGCCTCTTGGTATGGATACCAAAAGGAGAAGAAAGGTAAAGAGCAAGTAGGGAGAAACAAGAGGAAAAGAAAGAAAAGAGTCTGGGCACAGTGGTTCCCACCTGTAATCCCAAAACTCTGGGAGGCTGAGGCATAGGAATATATTTGTGTTGCAATACATTGTCAGGACACCAAGTGGAGCTGTAGTTTTGGGGGATGGCAACAGCTGGCAACCTCTTTCTAGTTCCCAGGCATAGACCTGTTTCCCAACTTAATTGTCCATGGTGATTGACTGATTAATTCCTAAGCATTCAGACCCTGCTGGGTTGGGATCTCAAAGCTCTCCAGAATCCTTTAGAGGCAGGTCTCACTGTGCTCCCAGACAATAGTTCCTATAGGGTGCAGGAGTCCCTGAGCCTGTCAGGATTGGAGGTCTGATCACAGCAGGTGGAACTAAGAAGGCTGTGTCCCTGTAGGAAGCCTGCCCTCAGGACCTTCCCATAATGGCTACTCCCTGGCTGCCAAGACCTCCCAGTATGGCCATCTCTATCACCACCAAACTGGTAGCAAATCAGCTCCAACTAGCTCTCAAATCTGGCTGCTGTGTACTGTTCAGGTGTGTCCACTCTTCCAGGCTTTTCACTCAACACGCAGCTTCCCTGGAGAACCAAAAACTGCAAAAAGACAGATTTAGTCTGTCTGTTTAGTACTGATACTCTCTTCCTCCCATCCTGGACCTGTGCAGTGGAGCTGGTTACTCCTGCTGGCTTGTACAAACTTGCCTAGTGTGTCAGAACTCCGCCACTCGGTTCATGCACTATATCCAGCACCTCACCACCTTGCTATGTACCCCAAGCCACAGCTCCAGGCAAGACCTGCATGCCAAACATAGCTTGGTTTTCTCTCATTCCTCAGTTGTACTAGGAGAGTTTGGTCAAATGAAGGCTCTTTCTGGTCTGCCATCTTGCTCTGCACCCCCACTGTCAGTTCTATTAACAAAATATTTCTCAAATTTATTTATTTCTCTCTATCTCTAATGCCAGCAAACCTTGGTCATAGCCAGCATTGTCTTTCTTCTAGACCACCACAGTTTCATCCTGGACTTCCTAATTCTTTTTCTGCCATATTCTAATCAATTATCCACAGCATTTAAGAAATGTAACTTGAATCTTGCCAGAATTTCTCTAGGTTTCCATTACTGTTAAATTATAAAATTCCTAACATAATCTAAAAGGCTATACCAGAAATAGCCACTGCACATTTCTCTAATCACGTATTTTTTCAGTTCTCTCTTCATTGTTAAACCATCGTTAGCCTGGAATCCTTTCTTTCCTCATTCCTGTTTTTCTGCCTTCAAATGTATTGTTTTCTCTGCCTATAATGTGCTTTGCTCTAGGTTCTGCTACACACATGATCCTTTTAAAATTTTACTTCCTCAGAGAGGCCTTTCCTGGCCATCCTCAATTTAAATTAGGTACTGATACTCTCTTTCTCATCCCCCCAAGATTTCCAGATATAAGTTAATATGTGTGTTAAAATGTGAACTTTGCATGGTGGGACTGCAAACTCATAAAGCCTCTTTGGAAAGAAATATGGTAAATCCTCAAAGAACTCAGATTAGACCTCCCATTTGCCCTGCAATCCCCACTACTAGGTGTCTACCCAAAACTAAAAAATCATTTTATCATAAAGACATTTGCACTAGATTGTTTATCACAGCTCAATTTACAATTGCCAAATTGTGGAAACAACCTAAATGTCCATCAACTCAGGAATGGCTTAACAAATTGTGGTATATGTATACCATGGACTACTATTCAGCCATAAAACAGATGGAGACTTTATATTTTTTGTATTAGCCTAGATGGAGTTGAAACATACTCATCTTAGTAAAATATCACAAGAATGGAAAAGCAAACATCCAATGTACTTAATACTAATAAAAAGCCAATAGATGATCTAATTCACACCCATATAGAAGCAAAACTCAATTGGAGGGAGGGGGATAAGGAAGAGGAGGGGATTGGCTTGCTCCTACTCAGTGGCCACAATGTAGAGGTATATGGCACACCTTTTGGGTGTAGGACACAACTATAAGATGGACTCTACCTAACAAATTCAAATATTGTGACCTGATTGTTTGTACCCTCACATTAACTTAAAATAAAAAAAAAAAAAGTGAACTGGCAGATGTTTTTTTCACAAAGGTACCAATAAATGCTTTAAGGAATCTAAATAGTCTCTGTATTTGATTGTTAGGGGTGGCATTCTTGGTAATATTCCCTGCTAAAAATAATTTAGGCATTCAGAAGCCAAACCCTTCTATTGAAATACTTTTCTGGCTCGGCGCCTGTGGCTCAAGCGGCTAAGGCCACATACACCTAAGGTGGCGGGTTCGAATCCCCAGCCTGGGCCCGCCAAACAACAATGATGGCTAAAACCAAAAAATGGCCAGGCGTTGTGGCGGGTGCCTGTAGTCCCAGCTACTTGGGAGGCTGAGGCAGGAGACTCGCTTGAGCCCAGGAGTTGGAGGTTGCTGTGAACTGTGATGCCATGGCACTCTACCCAGGGGGATAGCTTGAGGCTCTGTCTAAAAAAAAAAAAAAAGAAAGAAATACTTTTCTAACTACTACAAAGGGCTAATTAGATAATTAGAGTGTCAACCTATAGGAAAATAATACATGTTCATTACTTTTTAATTCTTATCTACAGTATTGAGGAGGACTGTCCAAACTCGTCCTGCACCACGGGTTCCTCCAACAGTGGAAATAACTGAAAAGGAACAAAATTGGAAAAAGAAGACCTTACCTATTGATACAGATGGCCAAAATTCAAGCGAAGAGAGTCATCTCTTCACTCAGAGGTGGAGAGTCTCTCACATGGGAGAAGATTCGGAGAACAAAAATCAGGCTCCATTTGTTAACTTCTCACAGCCTCTCTGCAATTCCCGTTCCAGCACTCAGCAATCAAGAAACCCCATGTTCTCAGAAGAGCCACCAGTACTGGGAGATGGGCAACAGCTTAGAACAAATGAGGCATTAATACAAAGAAAGGACATAATGGCACGAATTGCTGAGTTGACACTACAAAATTCAGCAATCAAGTCACATTTGAATAATATTATTGGGCCTGGGGGAGAGCAAGGGGATGGACTCCGGGAACTGAATAAACAAGAAAGCACAGGTGGCATCACTGCTGTGAGTACCAGTTAGGAGTTGACCAGGGACATACAGGAACTTAGGTAGGAATGTAGGCTTGGGGATCTTAAGAGACTTTTCAGAAATGATCCTAGGTAACTTGAGGCTACTACTGGATGGCTTATGTTTTGGGCTGTCCTCATCACACAATAGACGTAAGTTATTTATCAGGTTAAGTAAACTTTGTGGGATAACCTGGTAACTTTATTTCATTGTTTTTTGGGGCAATAAGGAATTCTAAGTTCCAACTGGGAATGTTCTACACCCCTCCTCATGCTGGTCACAGTGATGAGAGACACTTCCTTTTGCTCTTTCTTGAGCAGTAATAGCTCCTGCCAGGTTTCTGATAGGGGGCTATATAGTGTTTTAGGAGTGGGAACCTGCTGAGAAGCTTCACCATGGATTAGTAGCTCCTGGGGTATCTGTGTCTGTGAGGGTTTTAACAGCAGTGGATCGAGAGCTTTTCTTTTAGAAAGGTTAGGGTGAGGTGGGAATAAGGGCCATTTCTGTAAGATCTGGCTCATCAGGAATAAGGGCAATATGCGTATTGAATCAGAAGTAGCAGTTGGAAGGGACGGGCAGAAGAGGAAAGTATTGCTAGGAGGCAGCAGCCAGTGGTACATGTGTATGTATGTAAAATCAAATTGCCTCAATTTTGAATCATTGGGAGGCACTTACATGTTTTCAGTTTTGAAGATTATTTGAAACAGGCAACTCCGGGTTTAAAAAAGGCAACAGAGTTAACTGTTTTACTAGCTTTCTTTCTAATTATTGATAGTATACAGATCAGGCTAGAAAGAACAATCTAATATTACTGTCCTCACCATACTCTTTTAAGTGGAAATACAAAATGATCTTTAATTCATAGTTTTGCTTTCTTTAAATTAATAGACATAAACTAAAAATTAGTGATTTCCATCAGAGGTTTTTTTTTCCCCTCCAAAGGGACATATTTAACATAATAAAATAGGAATGACATAAGTACATTTCTTTTGGGAATTTTGACATTATACTTGTTATATGCCTTGGGTGGCTATTTTATGCGGTGCCTCTCATATTCCTTTCCAATCGCCAGTTATTCTTGAATCAGATATCTTAGGCCAAAAGTAGCCTAGGGAGACCTCCACATGGTAAGGAGTAACAAGGTTCCCAGAACCTTTGTCAAATAACCCATAGTGCATGTTTGGAAATTATAATTATAGAAGCATCTGTTTCAAATATAGCAGATCCTCTTTTGTAAGCTGTCAAACCCCAGCCAGTTGTGTGATCAGTAGGTATGTGGCATTTACTTAGAGAATAGATCACTAGGAGTAATCTTTTTGCTTATGTGATCTTTCATGCAGCTTAGTAACACTTAAGAGATATGGGAAAGCCTGTCCCATAAACTACATGCTTAATCAAAGGCACTGGAGGGCTTCTGTGGCACCAGTAGGAGAAGGATTAGTATCCTTTTACTTGAGCCCTAAGTTTTCAGTTAAATGATTCGTAGGTTCTATTGATTGTAAATTCTGTTCACATTTGTATGTAACAAGGGCTATGAATACTAACTTACTGACACTTAGGAGAAAAGTTTTTTTCAGCATTGAATTTTTGCCCTTTTTTCCCTCAAAGACTTTTCCAGTAGCACAATCTCTACCACCAAGTAGTATGGAGGAAAGGATTGCAGAATTGAATCGGCAGAGTATGGAGGCTCGTGGAAAACTACTGCAGTTGATAGAGCAGCAGAAACTTGTTGGTTTGAATCCTTCTCCACCATTGTCACCTGTCAGAGCATGGACTGGTTGGTCACAAATTCATGATTTTAAAACTAGAAATATGAAGATTTTCATTTTCTTATTTTGCAAGTTCTTACTGAGCTGAAAGAAATCTCAGATTTTTCTATTTTGCACAGGAAGGTATAAGTCTAAGTCACAAAAGAAGTGACAGAAGTAAGACTAGAAAGCAGGTCTCCTAATTCTTTCTATCCCACAGTGCCTAGTTAATCTTAGGTGTCTGGATTCCTAAGTTGCCCTGTATCTAAATGGGATTCATTATAGTTTGTGATCCACTTAGGACATATGCTGCAGCTAATTGTAAAATATAACCATCATAATGATGATTAAGAATTTCATCAGCAACAATTATGTTTTAAACATTTTCATTTGTTAATTAAATTTTCTGTTGTTATATTTAGGAACGTGAAAAGCTAGAGGGGATAGTATTTCATCATTTTTTACAAAGACAGGGCCTTGAACTCTTAGTCTCAAGCAGTCCTCTTGCCTTGGCCCCCCAGAGTGCTGGGATTGCAGGCGTGAACCTCCATGTCTGCCTGGCAAGGGGATTCTAAATAATAGAATAGTAACTAAAAAGTTAGTTGTCATGGTATTCACATTCAAAAAAGTACTGACAAAACAAAGTATATATCAAGTTGAATTTTAGCCAGAAATTGAATTAAGACCTCAGAATTGATAGTACACCTATTTGATAAATAAGTAAACTGAGACAAAATAAGGTTAAGTGATTTATTTGAAGGTCTAGAACAAATTACAGATTTGTGATAATGCTCTTTCCCTTCCAATAGTTATATCTCTAATGCATTCTTTTTATAAGTGAAATTCTTGGTTTCATAGGAACCTCTGTGGGCTATAATGATCAAAATAAAAATAGTCCATATGCCATGAAAAATTTGTTTTCTGTGGTAACTGAGGAATATTTTATAAAATTAATAGGGCTTTATTACCTCATTAAACCTAGAAATCATTGTTTTTAAGCAATGATTCACAGTAGCCTGGATGGACATAAAGTCTTCCATTAATAAATACATAGGAACATATAAGTTGGTTGATTACCCACTTCTGAAATATGGAGAGTATACATAATTTGTATTGGCCATATGGGGCATTCTTCAGCCAACTTTCCCTTCCTGCTTGAATGTCTTCAGTAAAAGTCATAATGTAATATATTTAAAAGATTTAAAGTTTTACTGAATGACTACAGAAAAATTTCCCTCCTTTGGGGGAAAACTATAGATAAGCTATTTTTGACAAAGTTCTTAAGTTCTTTAGGGCTACCTCTTAATTTCTGTTTTTCACTTCCAGATCTGACATGATACCACTTGTCTGAAGATTCTGGCTCTGTATGAACTGGCATGCTACTGAATTGACACTAGTAACTAAAGTTTCTTGTCTCACAGTTCATTAAAAAAAAAAAAAAAGTCTTCCAAGCATATCTGTGGGCTATAATGTTAAAAATGAGGAAAGAATCTCTACATTTGTAATGTGCAATTTGTAGTAAGATGGAAGTCAGGTGAAATTTTTATTTTTATTTCATTGAAAGATAATGAAACTAATGTTCATATTTATATTTTAGAAGGAGGAAAGAGGACCATTGAGGTATCTATTCCAGCTGCAGAAGCCCCAGAGAGCTCAAAATGCAGTACTGTCTCTCCTGTCAGTGGAATAAATACAAGAAGGTAGGAGTACAGTGTGAACACTTAGTTAAAGAACAGTCAAGAATGTGAAGAATGTGGTATGTATTTTATTCTCTTCATGAAAAAAAGGAAGTGTATGATATCTGACTTAAGTTTAGACAGACTCATTTAGAGAAAATAAAATAATTAGAGAAGAGAATTTTTGGGGGAAAAGAATAATGAGGAATAACCTCTAACTAATTAGAAAAGTATAGGTTGACTACTACAGACAAAAATGGTGTAACACAGAGTATAGGATTAGGAGGTGATACGTGATATATGTGATATACGACAGGGAAGGTGATTTGACCAAAAGTATTTTCCTTCTTTATAATAAGTGAAACTGAAGCTTGTATAGCTAATAGGGTGATTAGCTTGGATGAGTCACATAGTTGGTAAGTGGTGACACTGCAGGCATATCTACCCCTCTGTCTCTACTTTGCATTCTCAGTCTTGTACTGTGCTGTTCAGGTCTGGTTTCTCTTCTACTCCTTTGACATTTTTCTCCCCTTTATTGGTATAAACTTATCTGTATGATGCTGTGATGGCAGATACATGTCATACATTTGTCAAAATCCGTAGAACATATAACCCAAAGAGTGAACTCTAATATGAACTGTGAACTTCAGTAACTTACAATATATTACTGTTAGGTCAGCAGTGGTAACAGATTTGCCTCACTAAAGCAAGGTGTTAGTAATAGGGGAAACCATGCATGTCTTGGAGTTGGGGGTGAGTGGGAGTATGGGAACTCTGTACTTTCCGTTCATCTTTTGTAAACCTAAAACTGCTCTAAAAATAACTTCTATCAATTAAAAAGTGACTTATAGGTTGGTGAAAATATATTGCAAATAATTTACCTCATTTGGAACTATGTCAGCCATTCATTTATAAGTTCTTGCCAGTATTGAGAATTGTCAGTTGTTTGCATAATTTTCGAAGGTTAATAATGATAACTCACTTTGTCATCCTCTTTTATTTCTTATAAATAGATCTTCAGGAGCTACTAGTAATTCTTTATCTCCATTAAATGCTACCTCAGGAAGTGGGCCATTCACACCTCTGAATCCAAGAGCAAAGGTACATGATAAGATGTAGTTGTGAAATGTATATGAGGTGTCGAGATGGTAAAGGGGGAAGGTGACTGATCAGTGCTTTTCATTCAGTTATTATTTCTGTTATCCTAAAGATGATATAAAGTTCTTTTTTTGTTTGTTTTTATTTTTTGAGATAGGGTCTCACTCTGTCATCCAGGTTAGCTACAATCATAGCTCACTGTAACTTCAAAATCCCTAGGCTCAAGTGATTGTCCTGGCGCAGCCTTCCAAGTAGCTGGGACTAAAGGGATGCACCATCATGCCCGGCTAATTTCTTAAAAAAATTTTGTAGCATGATTGCATTAATGTACACAGCTATGATTTAATAATAAAAAAAAAATTGTAGCAATGATTTCTCTCTGTGTTGCCCAGGCAGTTCTCAAATGTCTGGCCCCAAGTGATCCTCTTGGCTTGGCCTCCCAAAGTGCTGGAATAACAGGTGTGAGCCACCACACCTGACTGATATGAAATTCTTAAATGAAAAAAAAGTAGTAATTCACCTTCATTAGAAAAAAATAAGACATACAAGGATGTCCAGAAAGTATCCAACCATGTACTGTGAAAAAAGAGATGCATGTTGGATACTTTCCAGACAGCCCTTGTATACTTCTTTTGTTCTATGGTAAAGGAATAAGATACAATTTTATAAGATATTCAGCAGTCCTTAAAGACTGGGATTACTGGCTTTAGGTGAGCTTTCTGAATGCCATGGCAGGACACATAGGTATGCCTTAAATGGATTGTAGGTGTATTGTTGGTTCCTTCACTCCTTTCTGTGATTGGGTAGGTATGAGTCCGTTCACTTTTCTTGTCACTTTATGCTGGGATTCCATACCTAAGTGTGCCACTGGTTAGACAGATTATGACACAAAGGGTAAATAAGTATCATGTGGTTTTTGTGTGTTTTGCTGTATGTAAAAGCTAAGCATTTCAGAGTGTATGCAACATTTTTGCAGAAGGCATTTGTCTGTGTTAATACAGCAAAATATAGTTCCTTTGAGTATTTGTTCATAATAAATTGTGAGGATATCTTTAAAATTGTAAAAATTACTTTTGTGGACTTGCGGTAACAACTATCTGAGATGAGGGGAGGAATCTTTGCTATTCTTATTGCTAACTAGCTTTAGTAATTAACCAAAGATTGGGTGTTATAGCCCAAATAAATTGATAGGTTTAGATATCCCAGTTGCCCAGTACTAGAAAATTTGTCTTTTGCTACTTATGTTCTAAAAAAGCTTTAAAATAGCTATTTTATATAACTTACCCTTAGTTCCTAGAATTTAGTAATATATATTAAGATCAAATAACTTTCTTTTTATTATTTTTAAAAGTTGTACCTGTGATTTGTATAAAACACTGGCTATATCTCTTTTAAGAAAAATAGGACTGTTAAATCAATATCAGGATCTATTGGTCAGATAATCAGTTATTTGTTAGTGTTTGTTAGAACATAAACATTGGTGGTAGCGATTTGATTTCCATGACCATTTAATGGCACAGGATGACTGTTGTATGTACTTGGCCTGATCTGTGAATCTTGTGTGGTGCCATGTTTCTGGTTATCTTCTAAATTCTCTCTGTATCTTTGTTCAACAGATTGAGAAAGAAAATGAAGAAGGCTGGTTTGCTCTTTCTACTCATGTATCATAAGTGAAGTTGAGTTTTATGGAGTTTGTTCTTAATAATTTATTCTTAGCTTTCCACTGTCTGTGCTCCTGCTTTTAAGTTTTTACATCCTTCTTTCAGATAAAACTTACAAAGAACATGTGAATTAGAACTAATGGAAAAGAGAAAAAAAGAAATTCTTTTAGTTTTTGACGTTTTCAAATATGTTTCAACATTCAACCAATCTACATAAATATCTGAATAAAATTTTGGCTGTAGGGAAATTAAAGTTTTAAATTCTAGTAACTTACGAAGTATTTTAGGGTCTTTTTTTGAGTAATACATTTTTACCGTTATCACCTTTGTTCCCTTTTTTTGACTTACTATATCTTAAATATTGATCCATTTCCATTTTTTCCTTGCATATAACTTATAATGAGATGCCTCTGTGTGATTAGAATCTGGCTTTCAGAAAAATGTAATGCCTACTTTGGGTTTCTTTTTTGATGGGAAGTTACTGCTGGCAATCATTTTTTTCTATCAAATAGAATGTATAGCCTTAAAAAATAAGCCTGGGAATGTTTGTTTGTATTTGCTTAAGCAGGTAAGAGAAGTTGTATATCTTATAAAATTCTCATGTAGTTTTTAAATGTGAAAATGTCAGCAGTAATGGTAATGTACATCAAATAAATAATGATTATAGAACTCAAATCTCTAAATGCAGCAGTGTTGATTTAGTGATATATTTACTGTTTCAAACAAATAGAAAAAGTTGGTATCAATTTTCCCAACTCTGAATCTAAGGAGATCATTTAGGATGGTTTTTTTTTTTCTTCAAAGCTCCTGTTTGGTTCTCAGGGGTTGCTTTCTATTTTAAACTTTTTTTTTGAATGATCTCTAACTCTTGGTTCCATGACAGGAATTCGCAAGCTGAGTGAGGTAGGAGCAGGGTAGGAAACTGCTTGGAGAATTTTCCTTCTGCAGTTGCAAATCACTGTTCTAGGAAGTGACCTGTGTAACTTTCACTTGAGCCTTTTCATTTTTGTGGTTGCAACAATAAAATTATTTCTTCTGTTGTCACTGATTTTATTTACGTGAATTCATTTGTATTCATTTGCATTACTACAGTTTCTTTCATCAGTATTATACTTTTGAAAGTTGATATTCAGTAAATACTATCCCTATGTGGAAATTAAGCCATTTTAGTGTTATTCCTCATATTTTTGAAATGTCAAGTTTTCTGCTTAGTTTGTGAATTTTTTTTGTTTGTTTTTTGAGACAGAGTCTCACTATGTTGCCGTTGATAGAGTGATCTGGCATAGCTCATAGCAGTCTCCGACTCCTGGGCTAAAGTGATCCTCTTATCTCAGCCTCCCCAGTAGCATGATAGTTGTCTACAGGCGCACACCACAACACCCAGCTATTTTTTTTTTTTTTTTTAAGAGATGGTCTTCTCCTGCTCAGGCTGGTCTCTGAACTCTTTTTTTTTTATAATTAATTATTTTGTATTAAATCATAACTTTGTACATTGATTAAGGTGACCAGATTTTAACATTGGTAAAGTAGGACACCATGGGCAGGGGCGGGGCCTGGGGGCCTGACAACAATGCAAACTTTGATAAGCAGTTCTTGATAATCAGTTCTCAACAATTATTTGTTATTATTAAAGTTTAACATTATAAACTTAGCAAAAATAATATAAAATGCATATCCTGGTGAAATAGCCACATGGCAGCCGAAAACCGTATATTCCCTTCATGTTCTCCCATGTTCCCTAGCTTGTGCATTCTTTCCAAAAATCAGGGCTTTTTAAAAATGCCGCAGGATGCAGGACAAATTGTTAAAAATCGGGACTGTCCCTCCAAAAGCAGGACGTCTGGTCACCTTACTCTAGAGAGAAGGGGGCTACTTGTTTGTTCCAGGCAGTTTGGCTCCTTCTGAGCTAATTGTCCTGGCCTAGAAGCAAGGGAAGGAGCCACTTCCTTCTGATACCTTGCCCAGGAGGGGAGTAGGGAGTTTACATTAGCCTTTTCATTTCCAAATGAAGTTACATTAACCTCTTCATTCCCAGATGGAGTTCCATTAACCTCTTCATTCCCAAATGGAGTTACATTAACCTTTTCAGGAGCCAAAAACCATATATTCCCTTCCCATTCTTCCACTGTTCCCTACTTGTCATGCATTCTTTCCAAAAATCAGGACTTTTTTAAAAATGCTGCAGGACACAGGACACAGGACAAATTGTTAAAAATCGGGACTGTCCTGCCAAAAGCAGGATGTCTGGTCTCCTTAACATTGATGCATTTATGGGGTTCAGGGTACTGCTTCGATATACAATGTGAAATATTTACATTGAACCAAGTAACACATCCATTACAATTATATTCATTTCTTAATAGTTTTGAAATGTACCATTGCATCATGCACATTAGGTGAGGTCCCCCCAAATGCCCTCCCTTCTCCCATATCCCCTCTCCCCAGCCCTCTCTCTCTTCCCTTCTACTTTATGGACTATAGTTATGTTTTGTCATTCATATGATTGTGTAGGTGGTTATACATTGATTTCATAGTAGTATTGAGTACATTGGATACTTTTTTCCCCATTCTTGGGATACTTTTACTAAGAAGAATATGTTCCAGCTCCATCCAGGTAAACATAAAAGATGTGAAGTCTCCGTCTTTTTTATGGCTGCATAGTATTCCATGGTGTACATATACTTCCAGCTTTCTACCTGTCTTGGCCTCCTAGAGTGCTAGGACGTCTGGTCACCTTACTCTAGAGAGGAGGGGGCTACTAGGAATACAGGTGTGAGCCACTTTAGCCGGTGAATGCATTCTTGCTGTGAATGCATTCTTTTGATATGAATTTTCCTTACTATTCTCCAAATGGTTTGCTCTTTATGTTTTCCCCTATGTGCCTTTAAATCTTAAAAGCCATGATTCTCAACTTGGAGCAGTACAAAATACCAAGTGAGCCCTATGCATAGTATTTTAAAAAGCTGCTCAAGGTGATTCAGATATGCTGCCAGGGCTGAGAACTGCAGAAGACTTTTATCCCTAGCTTGCTGGCAACCTGTGGGACTGATATTTATGTGTTCATACTGTTACCATTAGTTTTAGCTGATAATACAAAAGCAAATTGGAAAAACTCCAAGAATAGTAGATTAAGAGAAAAGAGCTGTTTCTTTCTTATGCCTTCTAAAGTAGTGCTTCTCAAGTTGGGTTGCCATTAAGAGTCATCTGGAGACCTTTCAAAATTCTCAATGCCCAGATCTGACACTAGGCCAGTTAAATTAGAATCTCTTAGGGAAGGACATAGACATAAGCATTTTAAAAAGCCTTCTCAGATGATCCCAGTATACAGCCAAGTTTGGGAAACATTATAAAGATATTTATCACTCCCAATCATAAATTAATACACATTTGATGATAGGAAACAGTTTAAGCTACCTTGGGTCCTATTTATCAGCCTTCAGACTCATCTGTATGAATGAGTCTCAGAGTGTGGACCCTGAGCAGCAGCAGCAGCAGCATAACTGGGGATGCTTGTCAGAAATGAAAATTCTTGGGACCTACCCCAGACCTTTTGAACCAGAAACTCTGGTGTCTGTTTTAATAAGCCATTTGGGTCATTTTGAAGTACGCTGTTGATCTATAGCATCACATGTGGGTGAACTCGACTATATTTGCCTGTGACGTAGTACATTTGTATTTACTTTTAATGTATCAGAGTTTGAGGTATCTTATGTTTATATTCAAATAGTAAATAACATATCATTTCTTCAGTATGCCCCAGAAAGCTGCTAGTAACTTCCTAAACTTGAAATCTACAGTTTGAGAGAGAAATTAAATTAATAATTAAACCGCAGTTAATGATATGATCACTTCTATGAGGTCTGATAATTAAGTTTATAAACTTACCACCATGCGCTTACATTGGCAGCCTTGTGCAAACAACTCAGTAAGGTTTTATAGCCTTGGTATATTAGTGTCTCACAGCTATGTTCATGTCAACGTGTGGCAATGTCTTGCTGAGTGGCACTCATTATTGATGTATGTTTTTGTGTGTTGTCACAAGAATATGGGATCTTGAACTAGAGCAATAAACAAGCATTACATTTCTTATTAAACTTGGCAAGAGTGGAAGTGAAATCAGGGATATGTTAGTCCAAGTTTATGGGGATAATGGCATCAAGAAAATGGCAGTGTAAAAAAGGATTAAACGTTTTCCTGAGAGAAGAGAAAGTATCACTGATGAAAAGAGGTCAGAGTGGCCAGTAGTGAGCATTTTCATTGTTGCAGAATGTTGCAAAAATTTGTTGAATTGTGTGTTGAAATTGTCAACTGACTGACCATGAGAAGCATGGCATACCAAGTAAACATTGAGTTAGGAAATCTTAACTAAAAATTTTGGCATGAGAAAGATGTGTACAAAAATGGCCCTGAAGGAGCTTACTGATGAACAAAAGCAAAAGAGAATTTAAGTTTACCAAGACCTTTTGGAGAGGCAAGATGATGTTTTGGCCCTTATTATCTCTGGCAGTGAAACATGGTGTACCAATATGACACTGAAATAGCGTGTCAAAGTGCACAATGGAAATTAGCCAGTTCTCCATGACCAAAAAAGTTCTGTCATTCCAGATTAAGTCAAAACTGTTTACCCTTATGTGATATTAAAGGGATTGTTGCTTATGAATTTATACCAAGTGGACAGTTAACCAAGTGTACTATTTTGAAGTGCTGAAAAGGCTGTGTGAAAAAGACAAAAATGACCTGAACTTCTCTGACAACTCATGGCTCTTACATCATAACAATGAATCAGCTCAGAACATCCTCCTTATTCACCTGATCTGGCCCCTGAATGACCTTTTTTTCTTTAACTGAAGATAAAGGAAATATTGAAGGAAGACGTTTTGATGACATTGAAGACATCTAGAGACATATTGATACCAGACAGGTGGCACCCCAGCCAGCTCAGCTGGGCGGGGCTGGAGGATCTGCCGCCTCCATCTTGGCAGTGTTGGTGGTGGCAGCTGGCAGAGGAATCAGCAGGCTGGAGCATAGGCAAGGGAGGGGACTGAGGCTCCAGTAGCAAAGGAACCTGACACGAGCAGGGAAAGACACTAGGGATTCCTCCAGTGCATCCCTGATTGGTCCATTTTCAAAACCTGCTCCTGATTGGTCTGTTTTCAGGCCCTGAAAGCTCACTGGACAACTGCCCCT